CTCATCCCCTCTTTGATAGCTTCCTAGGGAAGGTGATCTCCACGTCCCTTCCAGGAAAAGTCTGGCTCGATTTCTCTAGCATATTCCATTGCCGCAGCAAGAGTGTCACTTTCACTCCGTTCCACTACAGAGAGAGGAGTAAAAGAGAAGACAAAACAAGGGAAGCTGGAAAGAGTCTTCTCTTTCTCTCTTTTTTCTGAGGAGCGTTTAGGCTCATGTGAACCATGATTGCCCAGTACTGCACGAGACAGATTTCACTAAGTATGATTGGGTCACGTATCTTCCACCCCATTTATATATACGTAATATTATTATATACTAAACTATAGGTTTGGATTGCTTTTTGTCACCGCCAAGTAGATTCTGAGAAAATGATAAAAGGTTTGCTTATTCCTCGAGGTTTATATTCTCTTTGGTGGGTCATTCCCCAAACTCCTACCTACCTCAAATTTTTTTCGTCATTTTTTTTTTTGTCTTCATCACACACATCTTTGACCCGTCTTACTCTCGCTTCCATTCTTTTTCCTCTTCTTTTTACAAATCTGATTCTCAGATAAGACAAATATGTCATACTTAAACATCAAAAAGAATTTATCATATCAATTCATAAACAGAGAAATTGCCCAAAAATCCTAAACTTATCATACGGTTGCTAATTCAGTCCTAAACTTATCGTACGGCGACCAATTCAATCCTAAGCATTTCAATTGTGTTAATTTAGATCTAAATCTTTTAACGATTTTGCAAATTTAGTCTTTTTGGCCAATTTTGACTGAAAATCGCCGACGTGACGGTCTAGACAGCGCTGGCCATTCTGCGCGGCACGGGCGGCGATGACATGGACAATTTCTGTAATTTTTGTAAGTTTTTTGAATTCTTTTCCTTCTCTTATCTTTCCTTTTCGTTTTTCTTTTTCCCTTTTGCACTCCGCCGTTCAATAAATTTGGAACTTTTTAGACAGTTTTCCCTTTCGTACACCAATTTTATAAGTCGCTGCTTTATATTTCCGTCATTTTTCACATTGTCATCCTCACGGCCCCGGTGGGTAAGGAGGGGTTCAGGTAGGAGCAAGGTGGATCAATTCCCAAAGAATTCATCAGCCGTTCTGTTTCTATGTAATCTATAGTGGCAGTGGCAATGATTCGCCGTTCATCACGAAGGGAAAAACCACTTATTAGGTTAACTACCATCCAAACGAGAGCTATTCGTTCGATAAGAAGTGCCGTCAGGCAACTCGATAAGAATTTTGCCCCCTCTGCTCGTGAAATCGCGCTTTTATGTTGATGACGTATCATTTGTGTTTTGATGTGCACTTAACTTTTTTTTCTTTATACTTTTAGAGGATTCATATTAAGCTCATTTGGAAACGGTTGTTCGCTAGACCAAGACGGGGGGAGAGAGAGAGAGGGAAGGTGTCGGTCGTGGAGAAAATATTTCATTCGCCAGTGAGAGCAATTAAGCCAATTAGACATTCACATTCTCGCTTATGCGCGTCAGATCCAATCGATCTTGCATTTGAATTCTGAAAAGCCCTCGTGTACGACCGGCCTCGTCTTCAGGCACGTGGTGATGCCGTCACGCATCCGATCAGATCGCCAATTAGCCTCCCGGGTTAATTAGGAGAGTTATAGGTTGGTGGGAGATTGGAGTGGAGAAGAGAGACACTTAAAGTTATGGCTATCATTATTAATTAGCGGCTTAGCAAATCCGAAGAGAATCCCTCCCCCACTCATCTTTTCTTGCTGTCGCAAGCTTTGTCCAAGGAATAACTTCCATGAACACCTTCGGAACCTTTTAGCACAAAAAAATATCACGTAATTTGGTGACTATCCCCCCACCCGATTATAATAAGCCACTTTAATTAGCACCGAACAACAAAATTTTAAAAAAAAAAAATCATGCATATGTATTATTTCTAATGTAGAGAGCATTTATTGCGTTTCGACGTTATTTTATTGCGTCACGACACGGAATACATATACTATTATTCTCGAACAATTTAAACTTGATTTCACGAACTGGGGCACGAAATGTTTAATCATGATGATTTTCCAATAGAGCCAAAAAGATAATAGTAATTATAACAAAAGGAGATGTAATTAATTAATTGGTTAATTATTTTCCCGTGCATGAAAGTTAGCATGCCAAATAATTGCCAGCTGAGATATATCGACTTGATTGCACCTTATCCTGCCCCCATCACCTTGCACCATTATATTCCAACGATGCCCTTTTCGTGCATCGATTTTGGCACTAAATTTTGTCCCATGTCCTATGGCCCTATTACCTAATGCATCGGTTGCCGCAAATTTGAGAAATGAAATATTAATAATTTCTACCCTTTTCTTTTTGAAAATTAAAAACGTGGGTGGGGCACCATATAGTGTTTAGGTTTATTAATTAATCTTAATGATTGATGGGTCTCGTACGGCTGCTGACCGTTAATCCAACTTTCGGCATAATTCTGGAAAAAAAAAACAAAATAAAAAAAAAACAGAGCCAAAAATTGAAAAGAATAATTAAATAATGCATCGGGAAATTAGGAAAGTTGGAAAATAGAGCGGAGTTCTTCGCCCCTTGCCAATTTGCCTGTTGTCCAGCGAATGAAAACGGTGTGGAGCGCACGATATAACACAATCAACGGGAGCCTCTCCATTTCCCTATTTGACGCCATTCAATTTGTATCTAGTCTTAATATGTCAAGGTCTTCAAGACCATATCTACTTTGGATTTTGTTTCTTGCTGTGGGTAACGCGACATCCTATCTCAATTTGACTGAAATCAAATTACCCTCGCCGAGATTAGAGAGATTCGCAAGGAGCCCATTTCTCCATGAAGAGGTTCGCTCTGATCGTCAAGAGTGGGTATCCTGTTCATTTCCCGTGGGCTCCTTACGAATCGAATTCGGATTCTCGCGTCGCCTGTGTGAATCTCGGTCTTTTTCATTATTCGAATTCCAACTTCCTCTGCTCTTACGAGCTTCTAAAGCCTTCATGAATAGCACGATAAAACAAGAAGATTCGAAGGGAAAAAAAAAAAGAGTTCATCTCCACGTTGTTAAGGCAAAACTCCAAAGTAGTATCCAATTCGAACCTTACCAGTGACCGCATCTAAAGTCCATTGACCATAGACCCCCAAAAAAATGAAAAGTGAGAAGTGTGGGGCGATTGGAATGGGGCCAAAAAGTCAATGGAATAGATGGAGGGGTTGGTCAACTTAGGTCTTTGTTGGGGGGGGGCAAAGAGTCAAAGACTACATCACACATATGCCTCCCCAATCTCAATCTCTCTCTTTTCCCCCCTCTGTTAAAAACTGATTTTTTTTTACTTATTTATTTTTTTTATCATGTTTGCCCTTTTTACCCCCACCTTAATAATAATCCCCCTCAGTTAAGAACTGTCCCAGCTGTGATCCAACCTGGGATATTGAGTTATTTAAATTATTATTTTTTTGTGCCATAAATATTATATATATATATTGAGAGAGGGAAAAAAAAAGAGGCGCCAGAGAAGCAATACATGGGAATGGAGAGAGAAAGGCAAATTCTCGTTTTTTGGAACATCTTAGGAATCAAAAGCAGGCATATGTTTTTGCACCATCCGCTTATATCGGCCTAATTCACTAAAAAAACCCTCAATTTTTGGTCAAGTCCTAAATTTGCCAAGAACTTTTTTTTGTCTCAGAAAAAATCCAAAACTTTAAGTCCAATCCAAAATCTGCCCCGAATTTTGTTTTGTGTTAAAAAAAAATCACCGAAATTTAATTTATTTTAAAAAATATACCCCAGTGATCCAGTCTCAACTTGATGTGGCACTTCCACGTCGATAACAAATCCATATCAGCAGAGCAATGTGGCTTTTTTTCAGACAAAGAAAAGTTCGAAGCAAATTTGGATTGAACATAAAAATTAGGTTTTTTTTTAAATTAAAAAAAGTTTTTGGGAGTGGATTTGTTATCGTTCCTAACTTTCATATACTAGAATGGTTTTATTTTGGAGAATTCCAACAATTTTTATTTGGTTTGATTTGTTATTGAAGTAAAAATGCGACGACGGTTTGTACCTATCGCCACATTACTTTGCCGATGTGGATTTGTTATTGACATGGAAGTGCCACGTTAAGTTGGAACTAGATCATGAAGGTATATTTTTGAAAATAAATTGAAATTTGCTGATTTTTTTATATAAAATAAAATTCGGGGCAGATTTGGGACCGAACTTAAAGTTTGGCGTTTTTTCTGAGACAAAAAAAAGTTCATGGCAGATTTAGGATTTGACCTAAAGTTTTGGATTTTTTAGGGAATTCACCGCATTTTCAAGAGAAAATGAGAATTTCGATCCCCCCAAAAAGGAAAAAAGGAAGAAAGAGAAAAAGGAAAATGAAAATGGAGAAATATAAAAGAGGAGAAATGGGGGGGGGGTTGAGGAAGGGGCATTCCGGTAATTGCGGGTCCAACCGCTCACGTTCGATTCAGAGCTGTCTCGCTCGCTTCTCCATTGGCACCAAATCTGTTAGTTTTAAAAACCAAACGAACGAGAAGAGGAAGGAAAAAAAAAGCAAAAGAAAAAAAAGAGAGCAAACGCCGAAAAAACCGTGCGAGACAAGTTTGTTTGTTTGTTTGTTTTTTTTTTTTTTTAGTCCGCGTGAAAAGGAGATCGGCGCTGGTGATTTTTCCCGTCGAGCTTCGATTCTCTGATTCCCCCCGTGGAATCAGAGGATCTCTCGCCATCTCCATCCTCCTCCTCCTCGTCACCTTCACCAGCTCGCGTTCCTTTCGCCATACCAATCGCAGTAGTATCCGTCGTCGTCGTCGTCGGCTTTCGAGTGCGCTCCGTTTCATGCACGATCCTCCCTCGGAGCGGTTCGGCCGTCGCCATTGCCAGGCTCTTCCGGCGGTACCCTTCGTGCTCTGGGGGAGACGGGCGCGAGGAAGGAACGCCGAGCTTCTCTCTCTCTCTCTCCTTCGCATGGCGTCGAGCCTCTGCTGAGGCGGAGGCGGAGGCGGCGGGGGGCGGGTTGGAGCGGGATTATATTTCCGTCGTCTCTGTTCGGGGATGGACAAGATGGAGGGGTGGCTCTACCTCATTCGCTCCAACAGGTTCGGCCTCCAGTACTCGCGGAGGCGCTACTTCATTCTCAAAGAGAACAGCCTCAAGAGCTTCAAAAACCTGCCTACAGCCGACGAGGAGGTGGTGCTCCTCTTCTTCTTCTTCTTCTTTTTTTATCTTTTTGTTTTTTGTTTTTGGTTTTTTGTCTTGCTGTCTTTTGGTTGGCTTGTTGGAGCTGCGCGAGTTCGTCGATTTCTTTTCGTCGTTGATTTTTGTTTTTGTTTTTTTTTTTTGTTTCCGTTTTGCTCGTCGTCATCGTTGTTGTAAGCGCATTGTCTAGGAGCTCGCGTCGCGGATTGTGAATGATGTGATCGGGGTTGTGATTCTGCCGCGCTCCTCTGTTGTTGTTATCCGTGGATGGATTTCGTTTGGCATGGTCTCTCGTTCGCTTTACCTTGGGAGTCGTATCGAACGTGTTCTGGCGGAGCTGCTGGTTTCTGAATTTGGTTTTGCTCGTGCTAATTTGCACCGCCACGAATTAATCATCTGCTATGGCAGCTGAGAGTCCGTTTCTAGTTCCATCTGATAGGGGAGGGCCGGCTAACAGAGTAATTCCCTTTGTTCAGGAGCCCATCAGAAGTGCAGCCATTGACTCTTGCATTCGGGTCATAGATAATGGAAGGGAGAGCATCCATCGAAAAGTACAGATAATATGATTAATTGTGGTTTGCTTTAACAGATATAAATTCATTCCTCTAGCATTTATTGTCTATTGACTCATTTCCAACTTACAGGTAGTCTTCATTTTCACCCTTTATAATACAGCTAATCACAATGATCAGCTTAAGGTGCAGTAATATGATTTATCTGTTTCGTTCATCCATTCTTATCTTTGATGATTTCACATATCTAAATATGACTATTCAACGACATAGTTGGGAGCAGATAGTTCGGAGGATGCAGCAAGATGGATACGTTCTTTGCAGGATGCAGCGGCAAAGGTCCCAATATACCCTATCTAGTCATCTCATGAGAAGTTCTTTTGCTTATTGCATAAATTTGACTTCTTGTGCATTCTCAGGAAAATCCTAACCCAGCCACGAATTTCGTTTCATGTTCTAAGCGGAAATGGCTGACTTTTAGGTATATCTTATCAGTTATTTAGCATCTGTTTTATGCTATTCTTCTGTGCTCTGATATCTGAGTGTGCAATTTGGGAGAGGTTAGTGATTGCAGTTTATTACATTGTAGAGACTCGTTACCTGCTCTAGCATCTAGCTGTGTCAGTACATGTCCAGGGTCGAATGACAAGTTTGATGAAAATGGTAACATGTAATTTCAAGTGTACACCAGTCAAGAAAAGGGTCGGGAAAATTTTCCTCCTTTCATCCAGTTTCATCTTTCTAATTTTTTTCCTTTTGTTTTTTTTCTTGGGTTTTTTTTGTTTCTTTAGGGGGGGGGGGGGGGGGGAGGTGTTGGGGTGTGGTGTGGCAATGTGAATGGTGGTGCTTAGTTTGGTAGAGTGGGAGACTAAACTTATGCTTCAATTTTCTACTTCAGTGCTTTGCATATGATTTTCCTATAGTGAACTGACTCCTGGTTCTTTCCACCCTGAAATGATTCTAGTCTTGTGCCTTTTTTGTTTTTCTTTTCTTTGATGGATTCATTTTCTTATGGAAATTAGTGTCTCATGCCACTCTATGTTATCATTATCAGATCTGTAGTTTTATCAGAGAGATTTTCTCACTTACTGGTTATTTTGCTCTCGAATGCAATTTTGGCCACCCAGAAATGACTCTAGTCTTGTGTCTTTTTTTATTTTCTTTGATAGATTCATTTCCTTATGGAAATCAGTGTCTCATTGCACTTTATGTCATCATTATCAGATCTGTAGTTTTATCAAAGAGATTTACTGTGCTTACTGGTTATTTCGCTCTCAAATGCAATTTCCGGATCCTGGAAAAGAAATAATGCAATTTTTGGGACCCTTAATGCAAGTTGCTGAAGCGGAAGTGGCATTCCTCTTTTGGAAAAAATTCATGTGCCCGTTATAATCTGAGAATAGCTTTTAATTTGATGATCTTTTCTCTGCAGCCTTTAGTTATTTTCTCCCTCATAGTGTTCTCTTCCTTTCGTCTAATTGCTTTCATCATAACGATCTTGGTTCTATTTGCCATCTTCCTCTGCTGATACCTTTAGGTGTTTGCCATAATTTAGACAACTCTCTGAATATACCTCTCTTACTGCTATAAATAAGACACAATGAAGTTCATCATTTGTTATTTTCTTTTTTCTTTTCATGCAAATGAGTAGCTGTTTGACATTCTTTTAGCGGCATGTTTTCGCGACAGGATCTGCACCCCTTCAAAACGGACAAGCAGTAAACACTCTGTAGATTGGACAGTTTTCTCATCCATGCATACAGAGGCAATGACATCTGATGTTATCGCACCCTCACCGTGGAAAATATTTGGTTGTCAGAATGGTAAAAATTAAGCTTGTTTCTACTTTCTGGAGTGACTGAATGGATTAATATTAATTGTAACTCATCTTGAAGGACTGCGCCTTTTCAAAGAAGCAAAAGATTGGGATTCTCGTGGAGGGGTGCGTTGCTTTTCTGCTTACTTGCAATTATTAATATCTACAAGATTTCTTCTGACTGAATGTTGTTACTATATTAGCACTGGGACGATCATCCAGCAATCATGGCTGTTGGAGTGGTTGACGGAACTTCAGAGGCCATTTTCCGGTGTCTTATGTCTCTTGGTTCTTCACGTTCTGAGTAAGATTGCCAGAATGCTGCTTTGTTTGCCTGAAACGATAGCTTGAGTCATATGATGATATATGTCATTTCTCATGGTAGAACTAGATGTGCTAAATTACTTGTGGCATTCTGATGAGTCCTCTTACCCTCTCAAGCATGTGTGACGTAAGGAAGTGGAAACTATACAACTAGCTAATCTATTTATTGGCAGAAGTCTAAGCTGCTCAATATTCCAATTTGGAAGCTGCCTAATTAAATTTATGGCACCAACATGCTCAGATTTAAGTAGTTTACATTCTTTTTGGTCAACCACCAAAACTGTATGTCTGTCCAGTCAATTTTACTCTATAGAGTTCCACACAGTCAACTTCCTCACTTGCAACCACTGTAATACCTAAATGGGATACTTTATAAGCAACTAGTAAGTTTATATTGGTTCCAAGAGCACTGAGGCAATGGGATTAATTAACGTATCAATCAAGCCCTTGATGTCATTTCAGCTGCTATTGTAGAGCTTTAACAATGGACACTAGGCGTCTTGGCCACGTCATATTTTCCTCGAATATGTCTCCTCCTTACATATTAGGTGGAAGAATCATAAAGACACTAAATTCCGATTACACCAGGACTCACTTCAAAGGGCATCTCGGGTAATTACTATTGGTCTACTAACCAGTTACAATAATATTGGTTGATCTTTCATTGCAGATGGGATTTCTGCTTTTACCGAGGCAGTGTGGTCGAGCACCTTGATGGCCATACAGATATTATTCACAAACAGCTATACAGCGACTGGCTTCCATGGTTAGATTAAATTTTTGTTTAGGGAGAACTCAGTTATGTTATCCTGCTTAAGTTAACTCGTTATCATTTGTAGGGGAATGAGACGAAGAGACTTACTCTTACGACGCTACTGGAGAAGGGAGGATGATGGGACCTACGGTTGTTAGATTACAATGAATCTGTAACGTATATTATGATGCTTGGTTTGCTGTCTATGCCCTAACTTACTTTATTTGATCTTGTCACAGTTATACTTTACCATTCTGTTTTCCACAAGAAATGTCAACCACAGAGAGGCTATGTTCGTGCTTGCCTTAAAAGTAATGTATGCTTTGAATGTTGATGTATCCATAGTATTTTGTATTGCCTATGATCGCAACTAGTGACTTGCAAACTACTTCACTGAGACTTCTAGCAAAAAAAAACTACTTCACTGAGACATGATATTGACATTTATCATTGTAGTTCCTCGTAAGGAGTATGTGATGCATATGCTTTTTTCTGAGTATGTTCTACCATTTTGTGTATTAAAATTGCTCGTTAAAAATTAAATGGGAAAAACCTCTTTTGATCTTGCAATGAAGGCTTCCAACATACAATTCTATCGAGTCTGAGGTCAACATTTGTACTCAGATTACATATGTGCAAATTGCTAATTTACAAAAACGGTCCTTTTCCTTCAGTAGTCTTTGCAAATTTATCACCACACAATAACAAAGTTGACTTTTAATTGGATTATCATAAGGACCATGTTTTGTTCTGCATGTAGACTTATAAATAAAAGTTTTTGCTGAGTGTAGCTTTTTTTGGTCTAATTGAAACACTGATTAAGCTAAGGGTGGATCATTTCGAGCATCCGGTACATTAATCCGTTACAGTAACATATTTAAGACTCACGATCAAGATAAGTTATGGCATGATGGTGTATAATTGATCTCCTCATTGCCCACAAAGCATTGACTGACGAAAGTGAATGCCGTGCTGGACACGACTTCTGTCATTTATTTACTTCAAAAACCCGCAATATCTTATGCAATCATGTGTCATCTCTCCTAATGCTATTGGCCCTCATATGTCAGAGAATCAGGTCTTCTAGTTTCCGATTTTGAACTTTCTGTGTAATTTGTTGCCCAACATGCAGGTGGGGGATATGTAGTTACTCCAATAAACCAAGGAAAACAGTCCCTGGTGAAACACATGCTCTCGATTGATTGGAAATTCTGGAAAACGTATCTGCGTCCATCATCTGCAAGATCCACCACCATTCGTATGCTAGAGAGAGTCGCAGGTACTTTTTGGATAATTAATGTTGCAGTCTCTGTCATGCATAACTCGTGTTGACATTGCTTTTACTAGAGTCATTTCGAAGATCCCTTGTAGAGATAGGCAAATGGTGCCCATCTTTCCGACCACGGAATTGCAGTTCATGCTTCTCCCTAACTTCTCCCTCTGAGATTTCTGTTTAAAAAATATTCTTTGCCATTCCTTGCAGCATTAAGAGAGATGTTCAAATCCAAAGCAGGAAATTTTTCTTCAGATTACTCTCGTGGTGACTTGATGAGGGATATTGGGTTACCTCAGATTGTAAAGGAGGATGTTAAAACCGAAGTAGAGGATCATGAAAAAATTGTCAAAATCCAGGAGGTCAAGTTTACAGAAGATCAGTCTGAAAGGCCACCTTCTCAATCTTCCAGCCTGATGGGACTGAACGATGCTGATGATGAGTTCTTTGATGTTCCTGAGCCGACAGATTATGACCAATTAGAAAACTGGTCATCTGAATTGATCCCAGAACTACATGCTGCGGTACTTCACTTAATTTGATATTCCCTTTCTTGTCAATCTTAGGTTAGGGTTCCTGCATTAGCCTTTTTTATCATTTGCAGCCAACATGTGAACGGTTGCTAGTGATGAACAGGTTTTGTGTATTTCATGGGATTGATCTTTCTATATTGCTTCTTCAACAGAACATGTACCAGCCTAAATTATCATCAGCAGCCATTTTTGTGAAAAAGTTGCATGATCTAGCAGGTTAGTCCTGTCTTAACAGCAAAAGTTCTCGACATGATTGTCACCATGCCTGTATCGGTGTTTTAGCAATCATTTCTGATAGGAAAAGGTGGAATTTCATTGTTACTGCAGTTCAAAAGAAAGGTTATATGGATCTACAAGAGTTGGCGAGAGAGGATAGCATAGCATGTTCTTATGGATCAACTCTCCAAAGTGATCCAAGCTGTAATCTGCTTTGCAGTTGGACAACAACTGATCCTTCCACCTTCCTAATACGTGGAGAAAATTATTTGAAAGACCATCAGAAGGTATCTTTCTTTGAACAAACTGTCATTTGAAAGATTATAGCAATGGAAAGCTGCACAAGACTTTCAAGTGCTATGAAAATGTAGCTCAAAACCTCGATTGGGAGGCTCCATTAATATGCTGTACAATTTATTGAATCATGCAATCCATTAAACAAATCAAGCACCACAAGAATTTAACAAGTTGAATGGTTCTGAATTTTTTTCCCTGCTTTCCAGTTTCCATATATGAAAAACAGCAGTTTTTTTGGTGACGTCATTTGTTGTGCCAACTGTTCAATACTTGCTAGGTGATTAATTAAGGACATTGTATCACTATGGAGTTCGTGAATGGTGTTTTCTCTTTCATTTTTCAGAGGGGTCAATCCAACAAGTGGTCTATCCATAAACTTTTGCGTATGCATATTTAATTTAGAATATGACCAAGCATGGAGAATTAACAGAGTAACAGAATGAATGAAGTCATGCAAGGTGGTAATAAAATTGACTTCATAAGAGGGGTCAGATTTTGGTGAAGGTTATGGAAGGAAGAGATATGCTGCCAAATGAACTTCGAAAAATGATTCAGACAATAATGATGCTGATATTTCTATTCTGTAAAGACTACTGTTATTCTTGCATAAGGAATAGGACTATAGGAGATCACTGCCTCATGGACTGTCGCGTGTAAGAGGCAGTCTCACATTGGAGGCATAAATAGAGCTGAGATAGATTTGCTGATGTTTGCGAATGAGGTAAAAGGAGAGAATTTTTGCTGGACAGGCTTTAAGGTCAACAGTGGAATGATTCCTTTTTTGAACAAAGCTCTTATATATGTAATGCAGAAGAGCAGGTATTTTCTGCTGGAAAGAGGTTGGTAAATTATGTAGAATTTTATGAAAGGATTTTGTGCGTCCTTTGTATACATGTAGGTTTTCGAGTCTTGCAGTTGGTCACTAAAGATCGTAAGGCTCTTAAAGCCATATGGAAATAAAGGTCTGAATAGGAGAAAAGTACTTGAAAGTGCAGAGATGCATTGTCTGGCAAGAATTAAGTCGGAGTCCAATATTGCGGATGATCTTTTGGCCCATTTGTGGAGGATGATCTTCTGTTTTCTAGCACCATAGAGAATGCAGTTAAGCTTTGAAAGACAAAGCTAGGCAAAGATTATGGGACAATGGTTCATTTGTATATGTTGTAAGTTGCAAAGTTATTTTCATGAATGAATCTTATAAGCATTAAACACTACCCTCCTAACAGTATATTCTACTTTGCTGAATATGGGAAGTCTGTACATCTGGAATCCAGTTTCAGCTAGCTTGCGAATATAATAACTATACACAGGAAGATATCCAAAACATTTTGTCAAAGCTTTTGGACAATGTCTTTTCTGATATAGGCGCAAGATTAATAAGAGACTTTAGTGATTTGAAAACCTAGATATTAGCTTCTGCGTTTTGGAAAAGAAACATCTTGCTTCTCAGATTTCTCTGAATTATTCATGACCCAAACATATTTTCACAGATCAAGGCCAATGGAACATTGATGCAAATGGTTGGTGCAGACTGGCTGAGATCTGACAAACGAGAGGATGATCTTGCAGGGCGACCTGGTGGCGTGGTCCAGGTTTGAACTTTTAATAATCCTAGATGTGAAATGTAAATATCCAAATGCACTGAGGGATTGGTGTACCTGCTTATCCTACTATTTTCATGCAGGAATACGCTGCATTGGGTGGTCCAGAATTTTTTTTCATTGTAAACATACAGGTAATTGTGACTGCTTCTATCTTTTGTTCTCATCCGTTGCCGTACTTTTGAGAATTAATGTATATTATTCTGCCATATGATGGATCAGGTTCCGGGCTCCACCACACATAATTTGGCATTGTACTATATGATGAAAACTCCTCTCGAAGAAAATCCTCTGCTGCATAGATTTGTTAATGGAGACGATACATTTAGGAATTCGAGATTTAAACTCATACCATACATCTCGAAGGTAAGTACTGTGGTGATGGTTTCATAATTAGACAAACATGTTGGATTCAGTTGTCATAGAGGGGTATGCATCTAATAAATTTATTGTTGGTTACTTCTCAATAGGGATCATGGATAGTCAAGCAGAGTGTTGGAAAAAAAGCATGCTTGGTGGGTCAAGCACTAGCAATTAATTATTTTCGTGGAAAGAATTACTTGGAGGTATGCAAACCACTTTCATGGTTTATGGTATGTTGATTTGCTGAAGGGTTAAGTTTGTCTCCTCATGAACACGGCTCATCAATTTCTAGAGATTGAATTCTTTGGTTTCTTGGGGAAAAAGTAGCAACACTCAAAACATTATGGTTGGCTATATAAACTTTTTCCACAAATCCATTGTCATGCCTTGGGTAAAATGGAGACATGCAAACACCCCCCACCCCTTTTTCTTTCTTTGAAAAACAAAGAAAAAGAAAGAAGAAAGTCAGGAAGAGACGATATGACAGAAGCATTCCATTCCAAAGTTCGCTCATTCTTCATATTATGCGATTTCTACAATTGTTGTGTGATATTATTCCCTATTCAGTTTATATTAACTAGAATGCTGGCTGACCTTTGAAAATTTAGCTTGGGGTCGATGTTGGGTCTTCAACAGTGGCAAGAGGAGTTGTCAGTCTCGTTCTCGGATATCTGAACAACTTGGTCATTGAAATGGCATTCCTAATCCAGGTATGTGTAGCTATTTTTTTCTTACAACAGGAAAACTATCATCTATCATAATTTGCCAGTAAGATGGACACTTAAGAATGACAGAGTTTATCTTCGTGCAAGTCGTTTCATATAGGGTCAAGGAAAGCTTGACATGAGAAAGCTTGCACTATGAGTGAACCATAGGGTCAAGGATACGTGTTTTAATTTCGACCAGTAGACTATTTTGTTTCCGCTCATTCTTTCCTATTGTATCAAGTAGACGGGTACCCTCATTTGGTGAAACTTAATTCCCCAGGGTAATACACCAGACGAGCTCCCTGAAGTCCTTCTTGGTACATGTCGACTAAATCATCTGGACGCATCAAAATCAGTCCTAGTACAGCCTTAAACAATCAAGTTCCGGTGGAAAACGAGAAAAGAAAGTGATGAATATGTTGAGCAAATTTGCTGTAATGTTACACCCATGACCTGAACATGAAGAGGAGATAAAGTGCATATAAGATGTGCTTTGGCTGGTATGTCACATTAAGCGATTTGGCGCGGGGGATTTACATAGCAGTTCTGATTCTTTGGTGGGCATTGCAATCGTAAAATTTACTGATGGTCGTTCTTCCAATAAATTCTGGGCGGTGGTGGTGGGGGACGGTTGACAATGTAATCATTCAGGGCGTGTATTATTTTCGCGACTTTGGTTCTATTGGCTATATATCAATTGATGATGACGAATGATCATCTAGATTTGAGTTTCTCATGGTGTGGCTCATTGTTATGTGCAAGTGCAACAAATTTTAGATTCTAGCAGATAGTTCAATTTGCAATGTATGGAATGTGGAACGGACCTGTCTGAGGCCCAAAACATTTCCATTCCAATTCACAACGCCCTTCAGCTGACAAATTCGTTTTGCCAGAGGGCCATTAATGGGTCTATTTATTGGTCAAATTTTGTGTTTTATTTTTGTAAAATATTAATATTTTTTGAATCATTAACTGTAGAGCTTGAACACACACAGATTTAACCAATTTTAATTGGAAAACGGGAAACACAAAAATTTTAAAATTTTTATCTATCTAAAAAATTTAGAAGATGATTTAGATTAGTATAAGTATGAGTATCTATATAGATAAATTAGCATCGTTTCGGGTCATTCTTAGGAAAACACTAAGACTTGGAATAAGAGGAATATCAATTCAATACAACTCTAAATGAGGTTTTACTTTTACCATTATAGAGACTATAAGCTAAAATCTACTTAAACTTAACTATTATAATACTTATGAAAATCGAAAAAGTAAAAAGGGTAATAATACGATATCACATTTTGTTGATTTAGGAAATTGCTTGATAAGAAAAAATTGAAAATCCGGGCAAAAGTATAATTAAGAAAACTTATTAGTCAAACTGATTGATTGATTTGACTTGTTACGGAAAGTTGAGGGACTAAATTTATTAAATTAAACATTTAGAGACTTGTGGTAACTTTCTCCTTATTTAATCAAACAAAACAATTACATTAAATATTTAAGATTAGTTTAAGTACCGTATTTGACAAATTAAAAGTTAAAGGATTATGTTGCACTTTAAACAAAAAATTGGGAACTATCAGTATCATTACCCTAATATATTATTCTCGTTCTAAACCCACGAAGTTACCTAAGAATAACAAGGTGTATCCCAAGAAGTAGAACAAGGAAACAACATTATCATTAATTGGAAGTCATCGCTTCCATGTTAGAAGAGGATTTGGATCACATACCAAAGCATGTGACTTCCAACCCGTTATAAAGGGGCGTGAGTCGTACCTACAAAATATGTATCAAGGCTCCGTTGGTTTCGCGAAAAATAAATGATTTGGAAAATATTTTTTTAAAAATGACCGCTTGTATCGTTTGAAATAATTAGTTAATAGAAAATATTTTTTTTAAAAATGGTCAAGCCCTGTTCCCCATCATGCCTAGCCCTTGGCCGAGCCTTATACTCGGCCACCCCTTGTCCCTAAGGGAGCACCGTTCCTGGCCTCATCTTGCTCCAAGCCGCATCCTGCTCCAGCCGAGCCTAATTCCGGCCGATCCTACTACCCGGCCGTGCCCAATACTTGGTCGAGTGCTGTTCCTTGCCACTCCTTGCACTAAACTACAACAGTGACCCTATTGCTTCCCCGATGACAACCCGACGCAATTGATGTCCTGTTCCAACTTAGCGGTGCTGACCCGAGTCGAGTTGACGACTACTGCCCTCCCAGCAACGACAAAGAGATGCTTCGATTCCCTTGTTCCGACCGAGACGTTGCTGTTGCCTTGTTCCGTGGCGATGTGTGGCCACCGACTTGTTCCATAACGATGATGTCATTGCCCCTGTCCCACAAAGATCGACACTGTTGTAGCTGTCCCATCGCTGCTTTATCGCGCCGTTGACGATCCTTCGCTGAGTCGAGGGATTTTGCCTCTGTTTTGTAGGTTTTCCGAGCATTGGCCAAGCAGCTCCTCATTGCCAAACTCAGCTGAGCAACTCACTCACCGCCGACCAAACTTTGCCAACGAGCCCTACCATCCGTCCATGGTCATTCATCCCACCGGTCATACAGCGAGCACCACCGAAGCCAGCCGATCTGAGAGCCACCGCTAAGTTGAGAAGTTTCGCCGGTCGCCATGACCACCCTCCGCCGTGCGATCCATAATCCGTTGAGTTCAAATTTGGAAACATCATCCGCGAAAATAGGTAAAATCTTATCCAAGATTTGGGAAAAGTGCTGAATAAGTCCTAAACCTTTTGTGGTAGTGCCAATTTAGTCATAAACCTATTTTCAGTGCTAATTGAGTCATAAACCTTTTTATATAGTGCCAATTCAGTCCTTTTGGCCGGATTTTACTGACGTAGACATCGGCCGGCGGGTGACCGGTCACCGGCGCTGACGTGGAAAAAATTTAATAATATCTTAATATTTTTTCGAATTTTTTTTTCTTCTCCCTCTTCCTTCAGCCGCTCCCTAGAGCGGCGACCGGCCGGAGGCCAGAGGCCGGCGAGGTCGACCTCGCCGGCCTCGAGCGAGCCTCGCCATGGCTGGGCGAGGCTCGCCCGGCCCTCGCCAGAGGTCGCGAGGTCTGGCGAGGGTCGGGCGAGCCTCGCCGGCGGTTGGCCGAGGCCCAACCTCGCCGGATCTGGCGAGGTCGACCCTCGCTCGGCCATGGCGAGGGCCGGGCGAGCCTCGCTAGCCCGGCCGCGAGGCTCGCCCTCGCCGGTGACGGCGAAGGCGAGCCTCGCCGGATCCGGCGAGGTCCGGCCTCGCCTAGCACGGGCGAGGCTCGCTTCGCCGGCGAGGGCGAGCCTCGCGCTGGGCTAGCGAGGCTCGCCCGACCCTCGCCATGGCTGGGCGAGGGTCGACCTCGCCAGATTCGACGAGGTCGGGCCTCGCCCAGTCGCCAGCGAGGCTCACCCGGCCCTCACCAGAGGTCGCGGCGAGCCTCACCATGGCTGGGCGAGGCTCAACCTCGCTAGATCAAGCGAGGGCGAGCGGCCTGAGGCCGTCGAGGTCGACCTCGCCGGCCTCTGGCCTCCGGCGAGCGGCTAAAAGAAGAGGGAGAAGAAAAAAAAATTAAAAAAATATTAAAATATTATTAAATTTTGTCCACGTCAGCGCCGGTGACCAGTCGCCGGCCGGCCGGCCGACGTCCACGTCAGCAAAATCTGGCCAAAAGGACTAAATTGGCACCATATCAAATGATTTATGACTCAATTGGCACTAAAAATAGGTTTATGACTAAATTGGCACCACCCCAAAAGGTTTAGGACTTATTCAGCACTTTTCCCTCCAAGATTTGATTTTCGAATTATTGCCAAATTTGAACGATTGATATCTAGGATAACTTTCCTAATATGCAAACGCACATGATCTTTAATTTGAATCTATAAGCCTTTAGATATAATTATTGATCGCCCAAGTTTAAAATCGATATCTTGATCTTTAAGGCATAAGATTAGGATATCGACTTTTTCTGCGACAATTATCAAGTTCATAGTGTTTCCTAGTTTAAATTATATGATGCTATCTTTGGTGGCTGAGTATATCTTGATTGATTTGAATGTTTATTTTCTTTCCTAATCTAAAAAAATACAAAAGATTGCATGTTAGATTAGGGTAAGATTTTTTGATAATATTGCATGTTAAGATAGATTTTAGAATAAATTAGAATAGATCATCAATATAGTTTTCCTTAATAGAATCCTGATAATCTTATGATACCTAGCTGATAGGATAAGGCTTTTTTCTTCAAATTAAGATTTAATCTAATTATTTCCTAGTTGATAGGATAACACAAAAATCTTATAATTTCCGGTTGTTCATTTCATCGTTTGACTCCTTAGACGATAACTAGGTGTTTATCGATCCTATGTTTTGAATATCTCGTACGATATCTAGATGTTCAAAACACCTTTCATTTCTCTCTCTCTTTAGATGCCTCTGATGATATCCATGTATCCATTGACTCTCCCTTTGAACGCCTCAGACGATAACCAGGCAATTTGTTAAAAACCCTTTCTCAATTATCCGTTGTATAATCTGGATATTTCGGGAAAATCCTTATCGAGCACTTGAAGTGTAATCCGAGTACCTCGTAAGAGTTCATCAAAGGTATGTTTTATATTCTTGTAGTTGCATTGGCATCACATGACATTCAGAGAAAGGGGATCCACATTTCCAACAAAAAGATTTATTTTTATCACATTACATTTACGTGGTCAAAATTTAGGTATCATTTTATATTTGAATGAAACCTTTTTTAACTCCCCTTCAAAGAGGCAGCTGTTGACACTTAAATTTTTTTTTTTTTTTGGTAAGGGTTGGCACTTAAATTTTTGTTTAACCCATTTAAGTAATTATTACATAGAAAATTAGGTATTAATCTTTAACCTAAACAAAATTATTATAATTAAATTGCATAGTATAAAGTTTTAGGAGCATATAGCTTAATCTATTTATTGCATTTGCATTGCACAGGCGGTGGTGAATGGACCCGAATCAGCTACGTAGACTGGGCCTGCTCTAAAGCAAATTCGGCCAGCCCATAAGAGGAGAGTTCTGGACTTCAATTAATTGGGTTTAGTCCATTAAAGTTAAGAGACTTTGAGCTCAATTTTAACAAGCCCGTGAGAATTAAGCCTATCATTTGGAAAAAGCCCACCAATTAAAGTTAAACCTAGCTGTTCCTTATAAATACACACGAAGGAGGAGGCTTGAGATTACACAAGGCCACACAAATTGATAGACATGACCAGAAAACAGACGAGCACATCGAGAGAGAAACACACGACAAGAGAAAAGCAGAGAGTTTGAGAGAGAAGGGGGCAGCTAATGGGGCATCACATGGCCACATGTTTGAGAGTCACTCGTCCACAACAAACGAGCCTGATGGCTTTTTTTTTTAAATACGGAACCATATGAATAGTAGATCTCGACAAAGGATTTGTAATTGTTTTTTTAATACTAAAAATTCTTACGGCTTTTTGTTTTGAATATACGTGTTCAAGCATTCCCGGACCATTTCGCAGCTTCTCCGTTGATGGACAACGAGGGAGGAGATTAGAATTTTGCGACATGGAGTAGTTCAGCTCAATGGACAGCTTCTCGTCTTACATACAGAGAGACATTGCAGAGAAAAGGGGAACAAGAAACGACACCCCAAGCTACAGGCGTTCAAGTATGCAACATCTTTGCCGGCGAGCAAAGTCCTCTGTCCGTCTCTATTAGGCAATAATAAGACTCTAAAGAGATTCAACAGTGTCTATGCGTTTACGCCATGGTTGTGTGTGATCATGTCTGTATCTAGTGAGTTAAGCTTAGGCCCTCTCTCTCTCTCTCTCTCTCTCTCTCTCTCTCTCTCTCTCTCTCTCTCTCTCTCTCTCTCTCTCTACTCCACCACCCTTATAACTATGAGCAAGCTTGGCCCATATGTGACCTCTTCTAGTCCCCCAAAAATGGAGAGAATGTTCCCTACTAGAACACATCTTTAATTGGGAGGTCAGGGCGGGCAGCGCCGAGCTTCAGATCGAGCTTAACTTTGTCTCTCCAACTCGCCCGCTCTCTTGGAAAATGCACATCGGTTCCGGGCCTAGATGGCACGAGTGGGGGCGCAAGGTGAGTAGACTTAGCACTTTGCGCTTGATCTTGGACAGGCCACCCGTTCGCCAGGACCGTGAACATTACCAATTCAGTCACTTCTTCATTACAATTGTATCCGGGGATGTCCTGCCATGAAGGAAAATATGGACAATCTCCTAAATATCACTTACACCATCAATTTCAATCAATTGGTTAGGGATAATTAGCTAGTTTAAGAAGTCTAAGTTCGATTATTCATCATAGCTGGTCTTCTTAAATTATCTCATGTAATGGGAACATGCTTCAACTACCTAGTCAATACATACATACATACATATATTTTTCTCTGCGTTCCCATTTCAACCTTTCTTCTTGGGTATAATTATGTACATTAATCTGATAAAAATAAACGAATTAATTTATAGTAGGAAGGAGACAAGTATAAGTTTATATATGTGTGACATCAATTCCAATCAATTGGTTAGGGACAATTAGTTTAAGAAGTAGTTAGCTTGTTAATCATGGATGATCTTCTTAAATTATCTCATGCATGGGAAAGATGCTTCAACTACAGCTACTCAATACATTTACACTTTTTTCGCTCCGCGTTCCCATTTCAAACCTTTTTCATCGGATATAATTAATCTACGACCAGCAGTGTTATAACTTGAGTACATGGACTCAAATAGTTAAACGCTTGATTATATATAAGGCTCCGTTTGTTTCGCGAAAAATGAATAATTTGGAAATCTCTTATATCATTTGGAATAATTAGTCGATGAAAAATGATTTTATTACTGACGATAATTTATGTCTAAACATTATTCGTGGACGATGAAAATACTTTTAGTTCATTCTTTTTATAAACGATATAAGATATTACTTTTAGAAAAATATTCTTCAAGCCATTCATTTTTCGTGAAATAAACAAAGCCTAGACAACAAATTTTTGCCCCTTACTTTTTGTACTGTAACTCACCTCGATGAATTCTCTCTCTAGGCAAACAACAACATCAACCAAATGTTGTCTTTCTCTCCTTCATACAATGCCCCCATGATGTGCAGAGTGCCTGTCTTCCTGCCCCTGCGAACACTTCGAGTGTTCCGAACTCGTGTTGATTCCAAACCACTTGGGGTTAACTTCAAGTCATAATCAACATTTGGTAAATAAATTATAAATTTAGACTCCGTTTGTTTCACAAAAAATGGACTTTAATAGAACGTATATGTTTTTTTTTTTTTGGTCGGAGATAGAACGTATATTCAAAATAAGTTATTTTCAAGTGATTTTCTTGTGTTTAATTGTCTTTTGCAACTACGATGGAAGTAATTTTCTGATATATGTTAATGAAAAGCTATGGAATACACTTTGAGAAGGAAAAAAAAAAGCTAGAGTACAGTCCAGAGACCCTCGCCCCCGAGACCCCGGTGCCGAGAGCCGGTATGCTGACTCTCGGCACCGGGGTCTCGGGGGCGAGCATCGACATCTAGGGCGCGGGCACCCAAGTCCAAGCTCTGGGGAACCCAAGTTTAGGCAGCCAAGGTCTTGGGTCTATTAGACGGACTCTCGGGTACAACCACTCGAGATGGTTTTCTGATGATGATGACCAAGTCGTAGTCCAGAAAATGAATTCTGAGTTCTAAAAGAGTGAGTCATTTTTCCGAATTGAAATATAAATTTTCCATTGACTATGAAAATTTTTCTGACACCTTGCTTAGTAATTCAAACGAAGAAAATGTTTAGTAACAGCCAATTTCTGCGAATTCGCGAAAAATAATCGATGGATCTCATGACTCATATAACATAAATAGACTCTCTCTCTCTCTTTGTTTTTTTTTTTGGCCAGAGTATATGATAAATGGACTCTGATAGTTGAATCTTTGCGCATGTTTCCCAGCTAAACATTTCAGGGGATCGGAACTACCAATTAATGGTTGTGGACGCGATGGAAAAATCCACTAAACCATCAGATACCGAATGCAATGATTTCGTTTCAACAATTGCGTCTAATAGCACGTACGGTTAGAAGTGAGTAGGAAAATTTTTCATGTCTCCTTTAATTGTGCAATAAAAAAAGAAAAATCGAATGGGGCCCTTTAATGAGGTAGCTACTGGAGACGAGATCGTGTTGTCCATAAAATGGTAAAAAAAAAACTAAATATATTTAGAGCGTACGGCAGAAGCCCAATAACTTTCGCCTGGGGAGATCACTAAGAGGAAACCTAAGTCCGAACCTATTAATATATCTAGTTGGACTCACATTTACTTAAGAGTTTAAGCTATTGAGTTATGAACCAACTATGATATATTAACTGTTTTACACCACATCAATTATCCGGTGTGGGATTTCTCCAACACAACTCACATGTGCATCCTAACAAAATATGTTCTGGGATAAAAAATTTGAATTGCTTGTTGGAAAAATAGGGAGAGTAAATGAGCAAGAATTTGTACTCTCTTTTTTTTTTTATAGAAAATGTGTGGTACTTTCGAAGAAGTTTGGCGCAGTAGAGCATCCTTATTATAAAGTCATACATTAATTATTAAGTCTGAAAATAATGATATATTTAGGTGGTTCAACACAACCAGACGCGACGAGAAATTTCGAGCGCGAAACCCCGACATCCAGTAATGACGACAGTACAACTACGTAACAAGAACCTGCAAAAGATGCATCAGCAATGACAAAGAAAAAGATTAAATAGAACTTACGATATTTTCTGTGAAGTAGTGTCCAACGTTGATCTACAAAGCGATGTATAAACAAGTTTAATAAAATGAGCAACGTAATGGTGATTGGGTTATCAACAGTAATTTAATCAGAATGAAAGAATAAATGCAGTCACAGCGCATGGCACGACAAGCTTTGTTTAGTAGGAGGGACACAGGAGTGACGAATATCTTCTTAAATTATCTCATGCATGGGATGGGAAAGATGCTTCAACTACAACTAGTCAAGTCAATACATCTGTAATTAAACTAAACCCAAGCTGATCATCTCATGACTTCAGCTAGTCAATACATTTATAATTCTTTTCTCTGCGTTCCCATTTCCTCGGATACGATTAATCTCCGACCAGCATTGTAATAACTTGATGACATGGGCTCGAATGGTTATCACTTGATTATATATAAGCAACATACTTCTTCCCCTACTCCTCACCTCAATCAATCCTCCCTTCTGTCTAGGCAAACAACAACATTAACCAAATGTTGTCTTTCTCTCTTGGTTTCGCGTCGGCAACGTTGCCTTGCAATTCCACTCTGATGATAGCAAACAACACCTGCCTCTCATCAAAGTCACCGAGAAACATTGAGTTTCGAAAACCATTCCTTCGTTTACAGAGATTTTCTCAAAATAATGTCCGAGACATTGCACCTTCGCAAAACATGGCCATCAAAGATAAAGGCAGCCGTGACGTTTGTGTTGCCGCCATCGCCGCCCCACCTACCATCACAGATATGGCTCGGGAATCGCGAGATGGTATCGGAATAATTGACTTCCTGGAGAGACGGAACTTTCTTGTCACTGGTGCGACTGGGTTTCTCGCGAAAGGTAACGAAAATAAGCCGCTTAAAATGTGTTCGTACTGACATAATGTCATGCTGGTCTTCGAAATGGTCCTTTTCAAAATGATGGGAATCGATGTTTCTTTAAAATACGATTATACGGATATCTGCACTAAGCAATCTTTAGACTAAATATTAATGATTGATAATGCACTCATTCGTTTTCTACTGTTCCAATTCCATTGCTTGTTTACACTATTGTTCGCAGTTCTCATTGAGAAGATTTTATGCGTCGCACCCAACGTAGGGAAGATCTTCCTGCTGATCAAGGCAAAAGACGAGCAAGCTGCCATGGACAGAGTCAAAAACGAGGTTTGTGTGTCGTAAAATGATAAATATTATCTGCGTGTGCATTTTGAATTGGAAAATCATCATTCGATTTTTCCATATTCAGATTCACATGCAGGCCGCGAGCTAGATACATTGTTAATGTTCATGAATGAAAACGTGCTCTTTTCGAACACCAAGAATCTTTGTTCTTGTTTATTTTCCAGATAATAGAGTGTGAGTTGTTCAAGTGCCTAAAACAAAAGTATGGAGAACAATACACAAATTTCATGCTGAGCAAGCTTGTTCCAGTCAAGGGCGACATTCGGGAGTCGAATATGGGAATAGCGGATGATTTTCTTCACCAAATTACACAAGAAGTCGATGTCATCATAAACTCAGCAGCCAACACAACTTTGGATGAGAGGTATCTTTGATTTTTCTATGTTATTCCCATGCAAAATGAAGTAGGAAGGGGTGACAACGACATAGCTTTCATGGTTCGTGTTCTATGAGATTGTAAGTATTTGTGGGATCTAATTAAGCCTGAATCACATTGCTTCGGCCGAAATCAAAACCCTAATCTTGAAAATACGCTCGATTCAATTCATTTTTCTTCTGCTATTGTCCTTCTTTCCCATTCCTTCTTATTTCACTCCTTGCAATATATGTGTAGGTACGATGCATCTCTCGTCGCGAACACCATTGCGCCTTCTCGGCTTTTAAGCTTTGCCAAGAAATGCAAGAAACCAAGCCTTTTCTTGCACTTGTCTACAAGTAAGAAAAATGAACACTTGTTTCGAAAATTCATGGGAAGGAAATATAAAACTTACATTTCGGTTCGTTTACTCCATATTATTATCATCTTTATCATCATCCTTACTATTATTATTATTATTATTATTATTATTATTTATAGCATATGTGAATGGAGAGAGGCCGGGAATATTAATGGAGAAGGCCTTTGAAATGGGGGAGAGCAGAATAGACACGTCGACTCAAAGCAAGTTGGACGTCCATTACGAAATAAATTTGGCTTCAGATCTAGTTGAAACACTCCCTCCAAATGAAATGCCTCAGAAATTAAAGGAGATTGGTCTGGCCAGCTGAACATCTCTCTCCAAATTTCAAACTAAGGTTGAAATAACAGAGATGGCTTTACCCAATATTTGGAAACCACAAAACTATTTTAGACTTGTCGACACCTAATTTTTAACGAGAAATTATGAAATTGTGAAAGTAGCTAGAAAATTGAAAACGAGATGAAGTAAAGGTCGTGTATGGGAACAACTACTGACTGTTTCCTTTTAACTTATGAATTTTATCCCCTAAAATGTAAACTTATTCTCAACTTTCGAAAATTGAGGAAAAAAATTTCAAAAATGGCCATAAATAACTTTACATCCGTTTGTACTCTTATAAAAGTTGGTGTGTCCAATATTTCACATAACTCGAGAAGCTAAAAATTGTAAAAAATTGAAAGTAAAAGTAATACAATAACCATGTGTGAGTTCAGGGCAAGAACGTATGGGTGGCAGAACACATATCAAATGACCAAGGCCATGGGGGAGATGATGATAAACGCAGATAGAGGAGGAATACCCGTTGTTATCATTCGTCCCAGCGTAATCGAGAGTACTTTTCAAGACCCTTTTCCCGGATGGATTCAAGGATACAGGTGCTTTCTTTTTATTTACATTTTATCGATAGAAATTATAATAATAATAATAATCACAATTTGTTGGTGCTAATTTATATAATTTTCACTTTCATGTACCGCACAGAGTGCTCGACCCCTTGATCTTGTCCTATGGGAAAGGACGACTCCCAGGTTTCCTAGTCAATCCCAGCACAGTTATGGATGTGGTGAGTGAGTAATCTGTTTTAAAAGTTTAAGCTATAAGATGAAAAAATCGGGAAAATTACCAAAAAAGTCATAAACCTTTTGCAATTGTGCCAATTCAGTCCATCCGGCCACTTTTGGCTGGTCGGCGCTGACGTGGACGCCGGCCGGCTAACGTGGCAATTTTTAATAAATTTTTTAATTATTTTTCGATTTTTTTTTTTTTTTCTCTTTCTTTTTTTTTTCCTATCTTCTTCCCCGGTCGCTGGTCCGGCGAGCGGTGAGAGGCTGAGGCCGGTGAGGTGGACCTCGCCGGCCATGGGCGAGGTCGACCTCGCCAAATCTAGGCAAGGCCTCGCCCGGCGACGACGTGGCCGCCTAGATCTGGCGAGACATCGCTGTCGCCTGGCGAGCTCGACCTCGCCCGGCCATGGCGAGGCCACCCAGATTTGGCGAGGTGGACCTTACCGTCGCTCAGCAAGGTCGAGCTCGCCCAGCGACGGCAAGACCTCGCCGTCGCTAGGCGAGGCTGCGGCGAGGGCCAGCCTCGCCCATGGCCGGCGAGGTGGACCTCAACGGCCTCAGCCTCTCGCCGGTCGCCAAAACGGCGACCGGGGAAGAAGATAGGGGAAAAAAAAAAAGAAAGAGAAAAAAATTAAAAATAATTTGAAAAATAAAAAAAAATTATTAAAACTTACCACGTCAACTGGCCGGCGTCCACGTCAGCGCTGGCCGGCCAAAAGTGGCCGGATGGACTGAATTGGCACAATTGCAAAAGGTTTAGGACTGAATTGGCCAAAAAAAAAAAGTTTAGGACTGAATTGGCATAATTGCAAAAGGTTTAGGACTTTTTTGGTAATTTTCCCTGAAAAAATCAGTATTTTGTTGTAAGCTCAGAAAACGCGTGGGAGATGGAAATTCCATTAAACATGACATATGAAGGTGTACTTAGTATTTTATTAAGGGAGGTCTTGAGGGGTGGGGTGGAAGCAATTTGTTTACCCAACTTCCGCGATTTCGCACAATGGATTTCTTTGTCCTGAATTATTGTTTCTCGACAACACCCAGGTACCAGCAGACCTAGTTGTGAACACGATCATCGCGGCAATGGCAAAGCACGGGATTGCTGCGAGCCCTGGCATCGACGTGTACCATGCCGCGTCGTCTACGGTGAATCCGATGACGATGGGTGACATGTTCAAGTATTCCCGCGACCATTTCGCAGCTTCTCCCTTGACAGACAACAAAGGAGATGAGATTCAAATTACTGACATGGAGTATTTCGGTTCAATAGACAGCTTCTCCTCCTACATAGAGAAAGACATTTCAGAGAAAAGTGGCTTGAGCAAAGAACTTGGCCCTAATTTAAACCCAAAGCAACATTCCAGGCTTGAAGCAAGATGCAAGAGAATGGCAGAGAGTCTAATTCACTTGGCTAAGTTGTACGAGCCCTACATGTTCTACCGTGCAAGGTAATAATCATTAATTATATTAATATTATATATTATAGTGGAGGGCAATATAATTCACATCATTACCAAAAAAGAATATCGGAGCACTGAATATTGCAAAATTTCGTTAATGGGTGCTTTGTGCGTTCGAGATATATTCGTTAGCAATATAATATTTTGAAAAATGCAGAGAGCATTCTTTTCTTTTCTTTCTTGGTGATATTGGTACTGTTTAGGACTAACATGAAGAGAACTGTAAATTGACAGGTTCGACAATGAGAAAACACAGAAGTTGATGGAACAAATGTCGACCGAAGAGCGTAATCAATTTCCAATGGATTTGAGGAACACAAATTGGGAGGATTACTTTGCGAATGCCCATATTCCAGGTCTGAGGAGGCATGTCATCAAAAAGGCATCCTTGTCTTGACATATCTTTGTACTCGAAATTCTAAAGATCGCGTAGAACGTGAGCAGTAACTCTTGCTGGACAATAATAATGTTGACGTATTACGGGGCCAGCAATCCGGATTCAAGTGTCAAATTCGGATCTTATAGCCTTGTCATGCTAAGTAGTATGTTTCTGTTGAACAGGTAGGGTAAATGGTGTGTTGAGAAAATCGTGTCAACTTGTGTCGCTTTTGTACTTTTCAATTGATTTCCGTTTCGTAGTCGTGTCGATTCGTGTTAAAAGTCGTCGCTCCATGTACAATCTTTAGATTTGTAATATGTGTGCAAGTGTGAAAGTCGCATTGTCTCTCGATTCGATGAAGATCTAATAATAGTATTGCCATATCGCTATACTTTTTGTGTAACATTTGTGTTATACTGGCTGAGTTGTTTCTGTCCCAAAGATTGGTGTGCCCACAATTCCCCAGCCTTGCAAATTTGAACTAGCTTGGCCCAAAGACCATGCAATACCAGCTCCTACACAAAGTTCGACGTGGATATGATGTTGAACCCTAGAACCTACCCTATACTCATATATTTCAGACTTTTGAAACTTGTCCAATGACTTTGGCCGTGTACCAATCTCGAAGCAAGCTGCGAAAACGATGATAACAACCATCGCGAAGCAAGTTGCGAAGCCCAGCCTCGATGTGTACCGAGTCACCTCGTCGACGGTCAACCCGGTCACAATGTGCGACTCCTTCAAGCATTCCCGCGACCATTTCGCAGCTTCTCTGCCGACGGACAACAAGGGAGGAGCTTCGAATTAGCGACATGGAGTGTCTCGGCTCAATGGACAGCTTCTCGTCTTACCTACAATACAGAGAGACATTGCAGAGAAAAGTGGTTCCAACAGAGAAATCAGCAGCAACTGAAACCCTGGCGTTCATGTAATCTTCAAGTAGGTACATCTTTGCTAGTGAGCAAGTCCTCTGTCAGTCTCCACTTGCCAATACTAAGACTCTGAAGAGATTCGATTCAACAATGCGTATTGCTTTACTATGTAGTGAGTTGAGCTTACGCCCTCCCTACTCCACCACCAGCCTTACAAACATGAGCAAGCTTGGCCCAAATCTGGCCCGTTTCTAGTCCCAAAAGAATTGGAGAAATATGTTCACCGGCAGAGCACACCTCTCATTGGGAGGATGGGCCGAGCAGGGCCGAGCTTCCGATCGAGCTTAACTTTGACGCTCCAACTCGCCCGTTCTCTCAGAAAACGCGCATCGGTCATGGGCCTCTGCGGAGCGGGGTGGCGGCACACGATGAGCAAACTTCGGCCCTTTGCGCTTGTTCTTGGACGGGCCAAGCCTTCGCCAAGCCCATGAACAAGGTATATGCACAATTTGATAAATTTCTCCTTTCCTGACAATTGGTAAGCCATATCCCATCTTTTGGCAATTCGATTAACAACTCGTCTACGTTAATCAGCTGCGTATTAGTCTCTTTGTATTCTTCCTATTCGGTCACATTAGTCTGTAGTCTCGCTTAGCAAGAGCTATCGGTTCTCAAATCCGATACTACCTGATCAGTTCACAATTCATGCAGCGCTTACATATGATAGGATGAATTATCCTAGTAAATGAACAACAAGCAGCATTGTGATAAGACAGAAAACCTTGCCAACCTCCTGCTGCATCGTGCGAAACTTATCTACACCCCATTGATCATGCGCTGTAGCAGCTGAGAGTCCTTTTCCAGTTCCATCTGACGAGGAAGGGCCCAAAGCCAACAGAAGAACTCCCCTTTCCTGCATGAGAGCCCATCAGGAGTGCAGCTGTTGACGACGATCGTCACTGTCGACGGTCCTGATTGGAGGAGGACCACGGGAACTACGTTGGAGCCACGGGCCACCCGAACCCGAGCTTCCCCACGAGTCAAACCAAGACAAAATCTCCACCGACGGGGGAAGTCGCGGGGCTGCATTGCATGGGGATTCTGGACCAGTGACTTTCCGTAGCCGGTAAACCAGAGCCCGCGTCACCTCCTGCTCCCGGTAAAACTGTCGGTGAACCGTACCGGTGTCGGCACCGACACTGCTTCCCCCCCGATCCATTCTGCCCATAAAAATCTTGTTTATCGGCTTGTTCTCGCGCCAAATGTTTATTGTCTTCCACCTTTCTTTTCTTTTTGTCTTCGTTTGGCCTCTGGATTGGATGTGACGCTAGAGCTACTCCCGAAATTAGCCCGTCCTACCGGCTCGGTTCGCGTACCTGGACAGAGCGATTTTGAATACATCTGTGAGGGTCAGTCGAGTCGACGGTTCGATATGCACGTAATAGGAATGGAATTATTTCGATGAAGTCGTGTCCCGTAACCAAATCGGGTGCTTTTCTCTCCCCCCCTCTCAAATGTCAATCATTCGTGGTGTCGCTAAAAGATTCATAAAATGAATTAATTTATCGGGAGACAGGTACGAACTGAAGCAATGATGTTGTGCTTCAAGCGTATTTGTATGAAGCTACTTCAGAATAACAAGATGGGTCGTGAAATCGCGGGAATAACATTAGTCACGCCTCCCTTGCATATATGATGTAAAATTGACTTTTTAACATTTACCCATACTTTCACTAATGCAACCAAAAACCATCCCAAAGTAGTTTAGACTAAATCTATCCAACCCATTTTTAAATCCATAATCTCATCTTATCAATGCAAATTCATTGATTTTACCTTTTCTTTTCTTTAACTAGTCATGTTTTCCCAAGTGGCTTTCGCGTGTGACGTGACCTTGTATTTTGGACGAGCCAAAATTAATCTATCAAAGTAAAGTAACATCAGAAAGGGAAATCTATCTACAATCATAAGAATTTTTCGACGCAAAATCAAAAATGATTTACGTTATATTACCCACATATGATAACGAATTAAGCTTTCGAGTATCCCCTTGCAAAGCATAGGCAACCCAACTTGCATATCCAATAACGCGCGTTACCATTTTGTTCACTTCTTCGTACACTTTCTCGATTAATCCATCGTTACTTGTTGCCAATCAATTGGAGTAGATACATTGCGAATTTCAAAAGCGGATTTTCTCCTTAATTTAGGTTGTACGTGGAGAGTGTGCAATTTTGTGATGGAGGAAGAAATGAGGGATCAGACTCATTGAACGAACTCGCTTGTTGGGGAAACAAAGGGACCCAAACAACGACCCTTCTAAGGGCAATTTGGAGCGTTTAAGATGGCATTTTCACGTCCAAAACATAGAAATGTCACCGACAGCTCGTTAACTACAACTTGCACCTCGAAATCATTAAATGAAATTCAAATTGGCATGCAACGGAATTTTTAGAGGAAAGTGGTAAGCACATTTGCAAATTAATCAATTCATAACTTATGAAATCCTACCCATGACACACGGGATTTCTTATTTCGACAACCCTCTTCTTCTGAAAGATCATCTATCTCGACTCTCCTGAAAAGGCGCGAGAGTGTCTGAAAGTAATATGTATGATTATAAAATCTCGATAACGTATTTTACGAGGTGATTTGAACGGTTGCAAAAATTTGAAATTCTTAAGAGCAGGAATAAGAGGAAAAAAAATCAAGATCCATCCACCTTGATAAACTAATAACACTAAGAATCTCCAATATTTCACATACTTGAAAAATATAGGGTTATTATCATGAAAAACTCAAAACCGGTATACCTGTGATAAATTTACCTTAAACTAATTTTTTGACCACTAAAAATCCCAAACTAGTACACTTGTGACATATTTACCCTTCATTAATTTCCGTTAGATTTTACCCTTAAATTACTGAGTTGAATGACACGTGATAATTTATAAATGTACCAATTTGGGGTATTAACGAACAGGTGTACTAATTTATGATTTTCGTGGTATTAATCTAATTTTACGGAAACTAACGGAGGGTAAATTTGTCACATATGTACCGGTTTTGGATTTTTAGCGGTCAAAAAGTTAGTTTGGAATAAATTTATCACAAGTGTACCAATTTGGGGTTTTTATCGATAAAAAAATTAGTTTTGAGTAAATTTGTTATAGATATACCATTTTAAAGTTTTTCGTGGTATTAATCCAAAATAAAAATTTACATACGTTTTTTTTTGGGTCGAAGAGGAAAAAATTCGCATGCATGACTAATTGTTTTAGCATACTTTCCATTCCTCTTCGTTTTCCACACAATTCACTCTCTGTCAATTTATTATAGGGTGTATGTCCTAATCTCAGTTCTTACAATCGGCCTGTGAAAATAAGTACGTGACAAGTACCATAATTATATCCGACCAAAAAAAAGGTACCATAATTTATTTATTTTTAAAAAGGCGCTATAATTGTAGCTGTTCAGGTGCGGTGGGCAACAATAATTCTCATGTGGGACTCGCAATTTTGCAGAAGTGGTATTTTCGGGACTACACTCCAAAAATATCTTTAAGGAAAAAAAAAGAAAAGACACGGAGGGCCCACAAAAGTCTTTGAGATCACATTCTGTCGTGTCCAACTCTCGTACGGCCGTCCATTCCTGGCGGCCCCACTGCTTCTCCCCCGATCCCACCACCGCATGATGGATCTCACAATTCCCTCATCACCTCACTACCAGAAATTAAAAAAAGAGGCAATAAAAGAAATTCATTGAGGTGGCATTACAGTTAGTCGATCCATATGCCCCATAGAAGGATAAAATGTATTTTGAATAATAAAATGAATCTAGACCGTCGAAAAAGAAAGACCGTATCGATACTGACCATCCGGGCGTCCATGTCAGATTCCATCAATTACGAACCCCACGATCACCTGATAATAACTTCCCACAGCACCCGATTAATAATATGACGAACTTGATCGGACGTCTTATGAAGAGAGATTTGCATGCGTTGTGAATTTCGGTCCCGAACGAGACAATCGAATACTTTGAGACGTCGTTGTATCTTGCAACAAAAGCTGGATTATTTTATAATGTGTAGGTGGGGGAATCGCCGATTTATGAAATTTAACTTAGACTCTAACACGGACCCACCGCCATCGCAAATTTTTTCCAAGCGTAACTAAGCTCAAACGTGTGAGTGCTAACCAACTAATTTTTTTTCTCTATGTCGTCGGTATCGACTTTTTTTTTTTTTCCTAACAACCTTGTAATTGACAAATTTCCGAACGGCCAATCGAAGCGAAAGGGAGAATAGGTCACGTGCAGGCGGCCCCACAGTGGATCGGATGCAGCCGCAGAGTATAAAATTAAATAAAATTAAATTAAAGCCGAAAAGAAAAAGAGGGGGAGGTCCTCCAGCTGGCGATGAGCATGTGATAGCCTGTGGCGGGGTCCACGGTAAGCATCTGTTTGCCACGTTGATCAACGTGTGGACCAACTCACG